CAAATATAATTTGGTTCAGTTTTCTGCAAATATAAAAATCATAAGAATATCTGCATTTCAATCACATACATCACAATGAAGATTAAATACAGTGAACTTCAATCAACCTTAGGTATGTAGCTTTGAAAGTAGGAGGTGCGCGAAAGCGCATAATCCTTAAAAGCATTGAAGACTGAAAAAATCACAAGCTTAAGAACCTATTGTCTCAAGTCCCTAACTCGCACTCTTCTTCCTGGTCAGTATGTTCCTGTTCATAATGGCAAATTATCAAAATCCACTTGTCAAAGCCTCTCCTCTCATCCCGTAGAAAAGCTGTGCCATGTACATAGACAACTTTCCAAGGCTCTTGGCTGTGTTTCCAAGGCGGCACATACTTACACTGAAATTAAGAGTTGTCTGAAGCATCACTACACTTCAGGTTACCAAGAAGAGCTCAAAAAGTTTTCCTGTTGTCTAATGTGAGCTCACAAACTTCAGACTGTGGCCACAAAACTTTGTTAAATTGTCTTTCTCTACTAAGAGTTTCATTCCTTAATCTGTCACTGCCTTTCCCATGGGCTGCTACTAGCTCAGCCCTTAACGATGGCCTAAACTAAAGAAGCTGAGCTCTCTCTCTCTTGGTCCTCATTATCTATGCGTTCTCATCTCTAGTAGTCTTCATGGCCTTCTGCTGAACCCTCTACAGTTCTTCCACATCCTTGGAGGGGCCCCAAGACTGTCCCAAGTAGAGAGAGAGAACACCTTCCTCATCCTGCTGGCCCTGGACCAATAGGTGATTTATATTATTTGTAGTGAGAATTCTTTGATGGCTTATATGCTGTTTGACATCAGCTATAACCCCACAGAGCTGCCATTCAGCAAGGACGAAGGATGATTTGTTCCCAGGCACAGAACATTGCAATCCTTGTTGAGCTTTGTGAGGTGCCTATTGGCCCAGAATTCATTATTAATTTGACTTACTCATGTTATTAGATCAGGCGGTTTGATAAATTTTCATGCTGCTTTGATCAAATCCCTATTATACGCAGATGAAAAATTAGGCACTGGACTGGACTATGAAAAGCCATTGTGAGTTTAGGTTGTGGGAATTTTGGTAGAATTAGCTTGAAAATATCTGCATGCTATTTCAAAATTACATATGTGTTCTTCCATCAAGTTTTGTGTTGATGGAACATTTAAATTTTCGGTCAAAATAGAAGTCCATGCAAAAAGAGAAAATATCAGTTAGAAATAATGAAATCAATGGAAATGAACATAGATCTAAAATGAAGCAGAGTGAAAACTGACAGCAGATAAAGCATGGGATGAAGAACCTGTCATCAACAATAAGTACATTGTAAATTGCCAAAGCTCTTAATACAGCTTTATCCATCATACAACATTGTTATACAGACAAAAGTCTGAGCTTTGAGTTTGTTTCTTCATTCTCTTTCCTACAATTCACTATTTCTCCTTTTTTTGTCTTTTGTGGTTTGTCGTTTGCCTAAAAAGGGTGTTGATTAGGTGGTAAAGAAGAATCCACTCACTGCAGTATTCTTAGGGATATTGCAAAAAAGAGAGCTTAGACAGCATGAAGCTTGTAAGTAATTTACAGGTTTGGAGTGGTTCATAAGGCCATGGGCTGGAGGTGTAATATCCCAGCAGTAGAATTGCAGGCAAGAAAGATCAAAAGGCAGAATCATATTTATTATTCTCTGTCTCTTCTTTTTGTCAGTTTGTATTCTTTTTAAAGGAGGGAGCACTGGACTCAGGAAAAAGAGTTCAAGATGAAATTTCCCTTCTTTTTATTCTCCAGAAGGAAAATATAATACATTATTAATGCAATTTTAAAAGACTGTCAAACAGAAATTTTCTGTAACAAAATAAATTATATACAGCTGGAGGAAAAAAGAATGTACAAAACGGTTTAAATAAGGCTCACATTGTTCTTTCAAACAATTTAATTATTTTCCTCTCTTTTATATGAGTTTAATGAAAGGTTAGAAAGTTTTTTTTTCATTATAGTGGGTAGAATGGACAAAGTCAGCAATAACTTGACATAAAGCCATGGAGCATACTTTACAATTGCAGTATTAAATCTCTTTCATGGAACTAGAGAAATATCCTGATAAACACAATAAAGCCAGATTTATGAGTCATGAGAAGAGCATTCTTGGAGGTAAATGATGCTGTCTCTCTCTCTCTCTCTCTCTTTATATATATATATATATTTAGACTTATTATTTAAGAGCAGAAGTGTTCACTGTCTTGTAGTCTCAGAGGAAAGATCAAGTTAAAGAAAGATTTTAACTGATATTTCTGATAAGGGTAATTGGCCAGCATCACATATTTTTAATGAATGTCCTTAAGATACCACTACTACAGACCTCCAAGAATGGAAAAGATATGGAGTTAGTGGCAACGATGTCATAAAGAGCAGAGGAAAATACAGAGGGTCAACCTAGGGAAATTCAAGAGGTCATTCCTGCCTCTACTTAATACATAATTCTGTGAAAGAAGGTTGCCTTTTCAAGCAACATTTCTTTCAAACAGTGACAGAAAAAAGTATTACCTTTAAATGATGTATGTATATCATGTATTTCTCTAAAATTAGGCTGCTAACTCATTTTTAACTAACAAAGAATAAATCAGGCAATTTTTTCCAGAGTACCCTTAATTCCCCTCTAGTATCACAACATTTAAATGCAGTCGGGAAATGGGACTCTGATTCTTCACAGCTTCAGACTAGGGACTGGCACAGCTGGAGTTGGTGGCATTTCCTGTAAAAAAGGGAATTGTACTCTATGCAAAATGAGCATATTTTTAATATCTTTCTCATCCAAAGAAAAGGTAGAAAAGTTGCTGTACACATTAATAAGCCACAGAGTTAGATGAATGTAGGAGCACATTTTGTCATTCATTACTTGATAAGCTTCACAATTAAAAAAAAAAAAAGAAAGAAAGAAAGAAAAAAAGAAAAAACCCCAGGAAATTTTGAATTGTAGAAATTAAAATATATAGAGGGACTTTGTTTTGGTTTTCTTTTTTAGTTCACTCAAAATGTGCTTAGCTTTTTGTCTGAAAAGATACTGCATATGGAACAGAAAGAAGCCACAGCATTTTTTTCTAGATTTTAAAATGCTGTATTGTCCTTTCACACTCCCACCCATCTTGGGGAGAAGGCTGCCCTTTATTCTTCCTGGGGTAAGTCGGGGAATGATGCAGACTACATACCAATGTGTGCTTGGAATTTATGAAATTCTTTTGTCTAATTTTCTACATTGAATAACATTTTATCAATGAGTACCTGAACACTTCTCTGATGTTTTCTTTACTGTGCTTCAAACACAAGTAAAACCACTGCTCTTGTTATATAACACCAGAAGGCTTCACATAAAAAGACAAGCTAGTAAACGTGCTGGGAACCACAAAAATGGTATACCATCTGATTACAGTCTTTTGGGGAAGTAGAGAGAGATGTTTTAGAATGTCCTCACAACCAAATACATGACAGGCAGGGAGATACCGCCTCACCTAATGGATTGCTCCTTTCCTGATGAAGGGTAGAGATGCTAGATTAATTTTCCTGTTACCCCCATTCCGTGAAGGCTTTGGTTTGAAAGGCAGTGTGGCCCAGCTGTCAGTATACAGAGACCTGTGCTCTAAGTCTAATCAGTGACAGGCTCTGTGACCAGGAACAAATTTCATATATCTGTCTCTATGACATCTGTTTTACGTCTGTACTGATCAAACAGAATTGTTTCTTACTCCATGCTTGCATGTGCTTAGTTATGGTGAAGAGCTAATTTTGGCTGAGGATAAGTGACATAAATCAAAATAATCAGATATGATCTGATATGCATTTTTCAGGCAGTGCATTCATCTCTCAGCAAGATTACACTGTTTCTTAGCAGAAGCTGTCATAACTACGAATATCTCAGTGTTCCTTATTTGAGCTAATAGAGATATCATCTGCTCTCACAGGAAAATCCGTTGTTACACTGGTAAAAGATCTTACACTGTTCTTTAACTTCATTTAAAGCTATTTCCTTTTTCCAGTTTAGGACTAGGAGTACATAAATTTGAGCCATCACTCCACATAGCATAGCAACAGACAAAACTAGGTATATAAATCTTAGTACTGAATTTGGCCTTTTTTTAATTGACCTTTGTTTCTAGAAATACTTTCCCTTTAAAGAGCTTGAGAGGCTTTTTTCACCCTCTGTGTTAAAGGAATAAATACAAAAGGGAATTAAGTGCATTCCCCAAAGCCATCTGCTCAGTCTGACAAATTCAAGACTAGAAGTTGTCTGTCTGGCCTTTCATGTTTATGACTTAAGTAAACAAAATGACTTAGTAAACAAAATAGTATTCCTTCTGCTTTTCCTACATTTTTACATAAGTAATTTTTTTAAACTCACTGATCTAACCCTCTTTTCTTTCCCTTTACTTTCTTTTTCTTTGTAATAACTCTGCAGTGACACTTTGTGCTTATTCTTTATTACATATTGCAGCTTAAGAAAAATATGTAAAGAAGCAGAAGGATCTGCAAGGTTTGAATAGAATCTTCTGTTGCAGGGTCTTTCGAATTCATTGAGTATAACTGTTCAGGTATAATATGACTGCATGCTCTATCAGTAATACCTAACTGCAAATGCAGCTCACATTCCTGCTTGGTTTCTGTACCACACAAATGCTGCTGGCAGCTGCATGAGCAACAACCCATGTCCCACAGCGACACCAATAGCTCCAGGCACTGCAGCAGGGTGGTTGCTGCTCACATCTAACGCAGGTCTCAACGCTGAAGTTGAGTTATATGACACAGAAGAAATATTTGTTCCATGGGAACTCTTTAGGAAGATGCTTCAAAGTGATAAACATTTAATGCATTATTTGGTTGAGAATGCAAAATCAGACATGTCAAACCCCCAGTTACATTCATGTTCTGTACTCTCATGAACACATAATTTGACTGGACCAGATTGGATGCTATTCAGTTCTTGTCTTTCACTTTTTTTCAGGAATGTCCCAGTGGTGTTGTCAATGAAGAAACCTTCAAAGAGATTTACTCTCAGTTCTTTCCACAGGGAGGTGAGTGCATGTAATTAGTACTACCGTGAACAAAGAGCTTTGTTTGTTAATACCTAAGTCTGACAAAATACCCATTGCTCAAATTGACAAGATTGTTGTCTCAAGCTCTATCTGAACTCAAGGGATAATTTCTTGATGGATAGACACATTTTAAAGTATATATTTCTGAATGAAATGCAATGATACCTACAATAAGTCAGTCTTCTATTACGAAGCTACTAGCTGTGTTTGGGTACCTTTGAAAACCAGGTTTCTCCAAGTAGATTCTTTTTAAACTTTCTACACAGCCTTTCTCATTCTGTTTTATTCCACAAAACCGTTCACAGTAGGAATGAAAACTGTAGGAGGCACTACAGGTACCCTCTAATATTAATGGCAGAACCCCTTTGACTTCTATGTGATTTTTCTACTTATATGAGGCTTTTTTTTCTTCTTTTTTTTTTTCTTTTTTTGCTAACCTTAATTTCAGTTAATCAACTTCTAGGAGTTTCATTACTTTCTCTTTATTACCTTTTAATGCAATGAAGATAATACAAAAATGTGTAACACTTTTTTTGTCCGGAACCTTGGATTTTCTTTCAATTTGAATTGTTTTCCTCTCTTCCCTTTCTCTTGCTTTTATTATTCAATACTCCCTCTTCATATTCTCCTACAGCACTTCAGTGCTGCCTCTTCATCTTCTCCCACAGCTCTTGAGATTTGCATGTTTCCCTGGGACTGTTCATAGCTCTTTCTGTTCATTTGTATTTTAAAAACCCACACACTTAATTGCTACGGACAGAACATGTACCAATTATTTTTATTTTGAATGAAGACTTAGAAGGTAAAGAGTAGCATTCAATATGGATTACCATCACTGAAATCCTTACTAAGTAGGCACACTCAATAGGGAAGAACAAAAGGCTAAAAGAGTTGACCTGCCTACTGATTATTTCTGTATCTAAGCTTTTAAACCAAGCTAACAATTACAGCTTCAGATATTATATTTTTTAGTTACCTGGCTAATGAAAATAATTGTTTGCATGTGATTACACCTTTACTACAATTTAATAATATTTTCTATTGTAACACTCAAAATTGTTTATGGGCAGAGAAGGCACATCTTTTCTAAAAGTAGAGCTAAAATTATTGTGAGAATAAATGTAATCTTAAAAGCCTAATCTTCTTTATTAGTCTAGACCTAATTGTTACAGAAAGAATATTAATATAGTGGAAGTTGATATATACTCAATTCTTAGTTTCTGCCCCTTTTCCTGGTGCTTATGCTCACCCTTCCACTGCTCCTCTGGGCCTTTAGGGCAGTGGCATCATGTGGAGGAGAAGGTGGGGACTGCAGTGGGCTGTTGGCATCTGGAGTCCTTTAGCAGGAGGAATAGGATGTTCATATTGGTGCTTTCAACTTCCTCACTTAGGATTCGCTTGGGGTCATTTCTACATGCTTGCTAACATGTTTTTAAGCCTTTATATTTCTCCATTTGTTTGCAGCTCAACATTACACCCAAGTCTGACTATAGGTGGTGACTTTTACACGCGTTAGATACTATTTCTTTGCATTGCAAACCTAAAACCAGTTTTGTCCAGCTCCATACCCACATTTCTTTAACTGACTTTGCGTGAGTTGTTTGTAGCTGTGGGGTCCCTAGTGCCAGTCTTTGCCCTGAGCCCTCCCATCACACGCCTGCCCTCCTCTGTGCTAAATCCCATCTCTCAGCTGCTCAAGGTCTGTGTTGGTGTATGGGACAAAAAGTTCTTCTCTCCACTGCATCATTATGTTAGTCATGAATGACTGCTTCTACATAGAATAACTGCCTGTTACTGCTCACATGTGTAAACCTGTAGTTGCACCACAGAACTAAAATCAATGAGCCTAAGAAACCTGATCAATCTGGGAGATTGTTGTCACAGCTAACCTACAGGAAACATGGCTGCAAGCTGACGAGCCTTTGTCTTGGGGCAAGCACCCTATAAAGCTTGTGGCTTCTTATTAGCAATGGCAATACACGGTTACACGGCCCATTGGAGTTTCAGCAATACCATTACTCTCTTTGCAACATGGGAGCTACACTTTCCTTAAAATAAAACAAAAAAGGGAAAAATAAAAACCTGTTTCTTCCTGCTTCATTTAACTTCAGTAAAATACAGTGAAAAGTTAGAATTTTAGCAGGGTAGAAAAGTACCAAATACAGATAATTCACTCATCAATAATATGCTGTTCTGTGCTCATAATAGCATTTTTAGATTTCATAATACAGCGTTTTCAGAGATCTCAATGAAGAGCACTTAGAAGTGATGATCAAAAGTTGTCCCCTTCTTCTCCCCCTCCTCCATGGCCTCCACACAAGGGCATGCAGCCTTGGTGGTATGTAGAGGCAGCACAAACAAATGTGAAAACCTAATGTAGTTTTCCTCAAAATTTCAGTAAAAATATTCAGTGCAAACAGCAGAAGAGCTGAGTCTTCTTGGAAGAGTAACAGCTCACATCGGTAATCCTTTAATTTCTGTGCATCCATGAAGACTGGGTCTGTTTTGTGTAGGTTTTATGCTGTTTTGTAGGTGTCTATGTTGACTTTGCCATTTTCTGAGAGGTATGGGAGCCAAAGGCTATACTTTGTTCCTCACAGTAGCCAAGGTATATTCAAAACCCAATTAACTTCTGTATTTGCATCAAAACAGGATGAGATCATCATATTTAAGGGTCTAGTTAAGCAGCCAGACTGGATACCAAATGCCTATGTAATGCCAAACCAGATACAATACGATATGTCATTGTAACAACTCATATCTGAGCAAACAGAATGATGTTGTGTAAGATTTTAAGCTTCAGGGTGACCAAGCAGTCACCAAAAAGTAATTTTCCAATGACAACCAGCAAATCACTTCATCAAGCAACTTTCAAGACTACCTAGGACAAAGTACAGGAGGAATAGAAAAAGAACAAGAACAACAAAGGAGATTACACTGTAGATAAGAATCCACACACTGACTAATTATTGCACTCCTCCTTCATGTTATGAACAGAACAGATTATGTTCAGGGTTTGATAAGACCTAGTCTTGGAAGTATAATGGCTACCATTTTTTCTCCAATGTTTAAAATGGTTTAATGGTGTATTTCAAAGGAAATCTGATTTAATATCTGTTCCTGTCTCAACCTGTCAAAATATCAATTTAGCCTACCAGTTATGATATCACATCCCTGCAAAGAAGACATATTTTATTTAAAAAGTTAAGCTTTTGTTTAACATGATTAATGTGCAAGATTTAGTGGTGTGGGGGCAGAAGGGAATCACATTAAGTGGCTCTAATTAAAGACTAGTGTACATCATACTGCTGTGGTTTTGGAGGTAAAATTTCAGACCAGAATTGCCTGAACAAACCCTGAAAAATATTTCTTTTTATATTTAAAAAAGGTGTTACTAGAAAGAAAAGATTCTTCAACTGGGGATTTCTTTTCATCTACCGTCATACAAAAAAGGACGTATATTATATTATGTATGGGCAACAAACAGTAAAAAATTTTTTTGGTAACCTATGTGTTTTCTGTAAATATACAGAAAATAATTAGGAATAGTCCACATGTTTCTAAGAAATAAATACCAAGAGACTGGGAAGCTATTTAAAATTCAGTTTAAAGTAATTATGCCACTGTAATATGCATTTTCCCTGAGGGTGGTTTGCATAGTATATTTTGTTGCACAACAGAAGTCTCAGTAGATATAGAAAATATAACTATTAAAATCCTAAATATAAATTGAAGTCAACAAATTTTCTTTTTTTCTGTTAAAGTAGGAATTTATCTCCTAGGCCATGCTTAAGCAATTACACTTATAACAGAACACATGAACGGATGGATGGATGGATGGATGGATGGATGGATGGATGAATGAATGAATGAATGAATGAATGAATGAATGAATGGTCTCAATAGCTCCATAATGTTTTGGTTTTGGCGTTTGGGTTTTTTTTTAATTCTCTGAAAATGTATTAACATACACAAGGTTTAAAGGTATCAGAGTTTTTTCTTGTTGTAGTTATTTCACATTATATTAAATTAATAAATTAAAGTAAGACCAGAAACATTACTTACTAATATGAATTCTGAATCTGTGAAGTACAGAGTTTTCAGGTTTGGTATATTTCGTTCCTTGGTGTCGAGGTGGCATTTCAGGTGAGTGACCCAAGACTATCACTCAGTTTAATTCAAAACAATATTTTGGGGTGTGACAAATAAAAGTTTTCAGGATTAATATGAAAGTTAAAATGGCTTAGTGCCAAGAAATCAGCAAAAGCTGATGATGTGAAAGGTTTCGTCCCACAAGGGGGACTCAGATTTCATAACACTCTCCCTTTACTTAAAGATTGTGAGGTCATTGTTAATTAAACTAAAACTAATGTAGATACACAAAGTAGAAGGAGGAAAGTAATAACTGTTAAAAGTAAACAATACCTCAGCCTACATTAATTTGCATAGGTTTTAAGGGAGGGAAAAGACACTGAGGAAAGATGACTTCCCAAAACCCCAGCAGCTCACAGCAGTGCAGCCTCTGGAGTTCTCTCTTTGCTAGGTATCTCCTGGAGCAGGTTGTGCCTGTTGGAAGGAAATTCAAAGCTAGATCTCTACAAAAACTTAGGGGTTTGACAAATTTATATTCATGTTGTCTTGTGTTTCTAAAATGAGTCAATATACACTGGTCAGTAGGCTTGAAAAATAAAGTAAAATAGCAAAGAGGTCACTTGTTTAAGGTCATCATTCAGAGTCTTATTGAGCACTTCACTTAGTCTTATCCAGTTCTTCCAAGGTTTTTAAGTAGCTAGCCCTTATAAAATGTTTACGGAAATTAAGCAGCAAACCAGCTTTAAGAATTTGCTTCTCTGGACAGGATTTTATCTCACCTGTAATTGAACATATGATGCAAGTGCAGCAGCAGCTTTCTGACAAGCTCAAGTTCAGCCTGGCTGACAGACCTGTCTTCTGACTAAAACCGATATGCCAGATGCGCAGATGGCAGCGTCTGCTTCCCTCATTTAAAGTGAGCAAATGAACACATTTTTCTATTTTAACAGGTGAGATAGACCCCATAGCAGTCATTTAACTGGTAAGGTAGCTTTGCCATTAAGACAGGTTGCTTCAGATTACAGTAATGTGGCTTTGCTATTTGTTCAGGTAAGATGTGCTTACTATGAATTATTTTTACTGTTTTAAATTGTAGATTCCACAACTTATGCACATTTTCTGTTTAATGCATTTGACACTGATCACAATGGATCTGTAAGTTTTGAGGTAAGTGATGCTGTTACTTCTTTCTCTGTAACTGAATATTTTGCCATGCTTTGTAATTAAGTTCAGTTTGGTGGCTTTTACTATATGTCTTACATTATTAAAAATTAAGTTTATATGACTCAGATTTCAAGTTTTTCCAAAGTATTAACAAAAGTAATATTTATTATGTTATAATTGTATATCCCTAAATGGCAACTCAAACCATACTGCTATGTAATATTTTTATAAATCTGTAACCCCATTTATAAACAAGTTACATAAAATAATCCTTATCATCCTCTCTGCCTCTGCAAGGTGAGAAGGACTCTTAACTACAACTGATGTTATGGGGATGACTCAACCAAAATAGGATTGCTCACATACTGTATTATTTTCCAGGAGAAGGTTCTACAGAAAAATGGCTTTAAAGCAAATGTATTTAAAAGCACAAGAATTTCAAATTCATTCTTCCTCTGTTGAACTGCCTAATCTGTTTTCAAAATTCTGCCCTTCCCTGCTAAGGCTGAGGTCATCAATGCAATATGGTAAAAAGGCAACTCACTGCAATAGTTTAGGTTAAAGCAGGGTGTACAAAGCACTGTGAGGGAGCCATTATTTTGAGGGATAGAATTAAATAGTCTTGGTTCATTTGCAAAAGTGTATGTTTGCTTTGTCACGTTTTCCTTTGTTTTGTTTATAATGGGCAAATGATATCCTTACAACTTGAGACTGGATTGTGATAAATACACCCGCTTTAAATATGTTCAAATGTCCTATATGTGTTTTTATGATTTACTTCAGTGAATGATGATGTGAGGTCTGCCAGAACTTTTTTAAAAACATTTGCATTGCTTTATTATTGATGTAATATAGAAAGAGATGCCTCGCCAAGCAGGTAGGTGCATTGCAATTGGAAATCCATACTTCAGCTGGGACAATAACCAGATCGTTTTGTGGGGGGTTATTTGCATTTATTTAGAAAAACATGAACCCCATCTACCTGTTTCATAGTCAGCTGGAATCAATGGGCTCTGTGTGAAGGTAGAAACAGGAATGGAGGTTTTATTCACATCTTCTCTACATAAGCTATTTGTGAGAGAACCTTTCTGGTTAAATCAGCAAAAGCAGAGGTAACGAGAGAATACATTTTCAGCATCAGTATTTGAGAAATATTTCTGCTGTTAACATTAAGAATAATGAGAATAAAAGAAGCTTTTGTCTCTTTCCTGAACAATTTGTTGACACTTGTATCTCAGATAGAAAGCTTTAAGAAATGCAGTAAGTATGAATCCCTTTCTAAGGGATTTGAATATCTCAAAAGTGCAGGTCTGTGTACAATAAAGGCTTTGGAATAAAATAAACCAGGAAAATAAAATAAGCAGTGGGGTTTTTGTTGTTGACAAAACAGATTTCCAGCTTACGTTTGTTCAATATAGACTCAAAAGAGCGATACAGGCTTTGTTATTATTTGCATTAATTGTGAAACCAGCATAATTCTACTGGCATCGAAACACTCTTGCTTCTGTGTCCTTGTACCATGTTGCAACATCAGACTTACAAACTATATGACAGCCATTCTAAAAGCATCCTTCTTATGTTAGAAACGTTAAAGTTCTTTTCTAATCATGTGAAAGCAGCTGCAAAGTCTGAAAGTAGATATTGTGAAATGTGAAAAATACAACTGTCATTTTTTTCCTGATCCTTTTTATCATAGGTGCAACTGTGCCATAGTCTTTGTATGCCACTCCGCACTCAAGTTTTCTAATTTCTATTAGAAAAAAAACACAAACCCCTACAAAAAATCCCAACCAATCAACCAAACATCACAAAAAGGCAGAAAGAGAGAGTGATTTGAAAATTCTGGGAATAAAAAATCATCCCAATTTACTTTCTACATCAATGTGTAGGAGTAAATACAATTTAATATAACAACTGATGATGGAAAATGCTCTCTTCTGTGTAAAAAGGGTATGAAAAACTGAAATGGTGCTGAAAGAATGTAGGTAAGAATGACATTTTTGGTGCTGCAGTCTTGCTTTTCTAATCAAGCAGTGGTAGCTGGAAGTGTGGGAAAGAAAAAAGGGAGAATTTGTTCCATCTTTTTGCTCTTTTTTCCTCAAATTTTCAGTCATCAACAATGAAGTGTTAGACCTTAGGACAACTTAAACATATGCCTTCATTGGGTGAGACTTCCTGGTGAGATTGTTATGTCCTTAGAGTTTTGTCATCCCTAAATCTCTATATGCTCTGATAAGAGTCAGGCCCTCCAACTGAAGCATTTTATGTAGCATAAGAAAACTCATGAAACTGCTTGAACCTATATCTCCATATCCCATAATTATATCAATTTTGACACCAATTTATTTCCAAAATTAGTTATGCCAACTAGTTTTGCTTTAACATCAGTGACAAACTTTCTGACAACTTAGTGACCCAGCTATTGAAGGGGTCTTTTGGCTTATTAGTGAACTTTTTTAATCAGAGACAGATGTGACAGCAAAGTTTTCACTTGCTGCATGAATTTTATAACTGAACCAAAATGAAGATCTGGTCCTCAAGCCTATTTATAGAGCCAGGAAAATCGAGGCTAATTAACTTCAATACTCAAATGTAAAGCACATTACAACTACATGCAAATATCCAAATCACTTTAGTTTGTTGTAGCTGCAGGTTAAGGGTATTCTGAATGTGATCTTGATGAGGGGAAAGTCACTCAGAAATCCCACTAATTGTCAGTGCCTTAAAGTGCAAAGCTGTGCCCAAATGCAATGGAGATTTTTAAAGGTTTTTGACACTTTTAAACAAAATCAAACTTACATTTGTTTCTCCAAAAGTGAATTCTTAACAAAGAATTTAGCAAAGGATTTTCTGATTCCTTTATTCCTCAACTGTTACCTGAGAATTTTGCATTAATTAATAAATTAACAAGCATGTTAACTCTATTCAATAGGACAGTTCAGATCTTAAACACAACTTTGATATTTCACTACAGTGATAAACAGTCATTGTCTGCAAGGCAGTAACATGAGGATAGAAGTTTAATGAATAGTTAGAATGGTTTGCATTGGAAGGGACCCTAAAGATCATCCAGTTCCACTCCCACTGCCATGTGCAGGGACACCTTCCACTAGACCAGATTGCTCAAAGCCCTGTTCGGCCTGGCCTTGAACACTGCCAGGGGTGGGGCATCTACAGCTTCTCTGGGTAACCTGTTGCAGTGCCTCACCACCCTCACTGTAAAGAATTTTTTCCTAATATTTAATCTAAATCCCCCCTCTGTCAGCTTGAAGTCATTCCCCCTTGTTCTGTCCCTTCATGCCTTTGTAAAAAATCCCTCTCCTGATTAGGTCCTGATTAGGTCCCTTTTAGGCTCTGGAAGCTGCTCTAAGATCATCCCACACCCTTCTCCAGACTGAACAAGCCCAGCTCTCTCAGCCTGTCTCCATAGGAGAGGTGGTCCATCTCTCTTATCTTCTTGCCCCTCCTTTGGACTCAGTCCAGCAGGTCCACATCCTTCTTTTGTTGTGGCCCCAGACCTGAATGTAGTACTCCAAATGGGGTCTCATGAGAGTAGAGGGGCAGGATCACCTCCTTCAACCTGCTGGTCATGATCCTTTTGAGGCAGTCCAGTAGGTGGTTGGCTTTCTGTGCTGCAAGCAAACACTGCCAGCTCATGCTGAGCTCTTTGTCATCCAACATCCCCAAGTCTTACTCTTCATGGCTGCTCTGAATCCATTCTCTGCTCAGCCTGTTTGTGCTTGAGATTGCCCTGACCCAGGTGCAGGACCTTGCACTTGGTCTTATTGAACTTCATGAGGTTTACAAGTGCAGTTCTCTGTGTTCAATGCAAAAAGCCCTGTTCATGTCATGTAGGAAATGAGCTAACTTTTCTCAGGATAATAGTGATCTCATAAGCATTTTAATACCAGGTGTAGGTACAAAGAAATATATTTCCTCTTAACAGCAGCTCCTACTCTTTGTTTTGTGCATGCCAGGGCTCTACCACTTGTGTGACTGACATTCATCAGTTGGTGCCTTTCCAAAACTCCAAGGTCTAAATCCAAAAATGGATTTAGGTGCCTGCCTGCCTACCTACTTCTGGTATTGAACAAAGGATCAGGTGAAATAATTTTAAGCTTTCCGATCAATATATGGACAGCATACTATTAAGCTTGTTAATTCATTTATTAATTAACTAGCTTTCCCCAAAAATTTGATAAAGCAATCAGAAAGTCATTAACAACCTTTCTAAGAGGTTTAATCACTCTTAGAAAAACAACCCAAACAAATACAAATTAATCCCAAATGGCAACCAGAGGCTCTATACAGCTGTAGTGCAGAACAGAAATGTGAGCAGGTTGTGATACTGAGCACAAAGAGCCTCCAGTACAGGTGAGGCTGTCACCCTTCAGTGAGACATCCCCCTTTCTTGCAGAATCAAAGTTAAGCATAGGAGAGTTCGGCATCTAATGGAGGTCTTTACAGGTATTAGCATACTCATCAGGTGCTCAGCTGAGCAGGACTGTCCCTCTCAATAGACAGTGTTGGCATCTTTAAGGCATGTAAGTGTCTAAGAAATACTGTGAATCTTATTTAAAAAATAAATAGGCTCTATAAGTAGAATTCCTCTCTCCAGAATCAGCTAGAATCATTGAATCGTAGGATAGAATCAGAATAGTTAGGGTTGGAAAGGACCTTAAGATCATCTAGTTCCAACCCCCCTGCCGTGGGCAGAGACACCTCACACTAAACCATGCCAGCCAAAGCTCTGCCCAACCCCACCTATGAAGACTGCCAGGAATGTGATGATCACAACTTCCCTGAGCAATCCATTCCAGTGCCTCACCACCCTTACAGTAAAGAACTTCTTCCTTATATCTAATCTAAACTTCCTCTGTTTAAGTTCAAACCTGTTACCCCTTGTACTACCACTACAGTTCCTAATGAAGAGCTGTTTAAACCAGAAATGAAAGCACATCTGGCTATTCTGATACTGTAATGGGGAGTTAGGTTCATGCTGC